TGAGCGCTATTCGACTATCTGCTGTGCTCAGACTTGGGCTACATAATGGACGGTAGAATGCATGAAATATATATGAAAATGTTAAAGTTATGTATTTTTTATCATGTTTTGTATGTTGCAAGAAAACATGGTATTTTGGGCGTTTGGAGATAATTACTTTGTCATAATTGTTGGATTCATTATCTCCAAGCTGGGCGGTAACAATTTCAAAAGATACCTTGTGTTTCTATTGGTTAACTACTTGTATTGTCGTTGTATCCCATCAGGTCCAGAGGGGGCTGTCCCTGGACCTGAGATTTCGCATAAATAGTGATGCCTGTGTGCCATTAAAGCCAGTTCTGCTTGACCTCAAAATAAAGTGTCGTCTCGTTATTGGGGGAATTGGATTGTATGCTGATTGCCAGGAGTGTAAGCTGATTGTATGCTTTTCCTGTTCAGCTGCTTACAGAATTCATATGCTTGAGAGCATTTGCATGCTTCTCCGGTTCGGTGGTTGTGGTGTCTGCTGCAGTGCTTGGAGTCCTCAGGAAGCACTAGGAGCATCCTTCAATGGAGGTACCCAGTCAGGGGTGCCAGGTGATCCGTTACAGTTCTGATCCATCACATGAAATTCAGTTTAATAAAACAAACTTAAAGGACCACTCTAGGCACCCAGACCACTTCAGCTTAATGAAGTGGTCTGGTTGCCAGGTCCCTCTAGGATTAACCCTTTTTTTTTATAAACACAGCAATTTCAGAGAAACTGCTATGTTTATAAATGGATTAATCCAGCCTCTAAAGCCTCTAGTGGCTGTCTCATTGAAAGCCGCAAGAGGCGTTTTCGTGCTTCTCACTGTGAAAATCACAGTGAGAAGACGCCAGCGTCCATAGGAAAGCATTATGAATTATGAATGCTTTCCTATGAGACTGGCTGAATGCGCGCCCAGCTCCTGCCGCGCATGCGCATTCAGCCAAAGAGGAGGATCAGAGGCAGACAGGAGGAGGAGAGCTCCCCGCCCGGCGCTGGAAAAAAGTTAAGATTTAACCCTTTCCTCTCCCCAGAGCCCGGCGGGAGGGGGACCCTGAGGGTGGGGGCACCCTCAGGGCACTATAGTGCCAGGAAAACGAGTATGTTTTCCTGGCACTATAGTGGTCCCTTAAGGCTGTAAAGTAACAAAATTGGTAAAAAGTCAAGGGGGGGTGAATACTTTTGCAAGGCACTGTATATAGGGTTGACTAAGGTGACTAAGTGGCTACTAAAAAAGACTGGACATACCCCATTTTGAATAACGTGGGTTGTCTACTTTTACAACCCACGTTATAATACTTTTAGAACGTGCATAATACATAATGCTTTTATGATGGTGTTAATTTTCATTCCTGGGCTGTGTAATGGATCACCTGGCACCCCGACTGGGTACCTCCGTTGAAGGATGCTCCTAGCGCTTCCTGAGGACTCCAAGCACTGCAGCAGACACCACAACCACCGAACCGGAGAAGCATGTGAATGCTGTAAGCAGCTGAACAGGAAAAGCATACAATCAGCTTACACTCCTGGCAATCAGCATACAAACCAATTCCCCCAATAACGAGACGACACTTCATTTTGAGGTCAAGTAGAAATGACTGTACTGGCACATACAGCCTCTTTTATTTACAATCCACAAACCTAGTACTGCCCACAGGGTTTTTGAAAACAACCAATAAACACGTACAATACACTCAGACACTCCCACACAAAATCCTCCCCTCTGCCTGTGATACAATTACCTTACAAAATGGGTAATGTAATTATCACCAGCAGAGAAATACAGTTTTTCCACATTATTCATAACTTTAAAAGTATGCATCACATTCACGTTTTCCGAATCGGCATACTCCAAATACAAACATATGTCAAAATCATCCAAATTGGTCCATTGGTTTAAAAGATAGATCGAAGTCCTTTGTGACCAAATGAAGCATGGCTTTTCTGCCCAAAACCAGTTCCACAGAGTCTTCTATCCTGGAGATAATTGAGAAGTAATCCAATTATCTCCAAGGACAGAGGCAAAACTCCATTAAGCACATGGCAGTAAAAAGACAGTAAAATACAAACAAATACACAAGGTTACATTTATTACATAAAATACAGACATGCAACATATCCCCAGATAGCTTAGGTCTGAGTGCACATTATTACTGAATGGCGATCAGACCACACACATACAGTTCAATTGCCATGGAGCCAAAGTCTTTTATTACACGAATAGGCTCCATGGCATAGCTATCTGGGTTAAATGAGTTAATTCAGTAAATCTGAGAACCTACCGAACGCCAGGGCAGAAATACATGAATAGACCTTTCTGCATAGTAAAATAAAGTATTTAAATGCCGGTCCATAGTCAAAAGGCAGCAGGCAGGCAACTAGGCTCCTCCAGTGCAGAGTGGCGAGGTTGGTTCCGCCACATTTCTCCCCTTTACCAATCAGACTAACAGGGTATCTGACCTCCTGTCGGTCAGTGCCCTGGTTAGTCCAGCAACCCACCCACAGAACACAATCAGCAGTACAATCAGCAGTACATAAGTTGTCTTGTCGCTGGAGTGAGAAACCAATTGTCTCTGCTCCCTGTAGGACACTCTGCCGCTGAGGAGGGAGGATGCTGCTCTCCACTCCCAGTAGCTTGGGTGCAGAGACCACTGTCCCATCTGCGCTGGTGTGGGGCTTAGTGTCTCCCCTTGGTGGGCTACGCTGTCGCTGGGGAGAGGGGGTAACCAACTCCTCTCCCTTACACATTTTCAGCCGCTGGGGAGAGGAGGTAACAGGCTCCTCTCCCTGACACTCTCTCTGCTGGTCGAGAGGAGGTAGAGAGGGGGATCGACTGTCTCCCCTTCCAATAATGCGCTCTGCCGCTGGGGAGTGAAACCAGTGGTCTCTCCTCCCTGTAATGTACTCTGCCGATGGGGATCTGGGCCGACTGCCCAGTCTGCGTCCATGCTCTGCGGCTGGCATGAATTTAGTAGTTCCAAATAGTCCATCTCCAGTTCTCATTCCATGGCAGCGAAACGGAGGAGGTCTTCTCCCAGTCCAATAGATCTCGGGCCTTGTAACATCTCACCTCGGTAATGCAAGATAGCCCAGTACCGTGACTCTGCTGGACTGCCAAAGTCGACGTCTTCCGCTAAGGCCTTCCACAACAGGCCAGGGCTAGTGTAGTTCTCCCCCTCCGGCTGGATGCCCTCTGCCCTCCACCTCTCTGGCTGGACAGTGCACCACCACAGTGCCCGGTATGAGGCGTCAAGGCTCAGTTCCCTTTCCACAAGGTACTCAAATTGTCTTACCCGCTCCCCTCCGGGTTGGTCTCCCAGAAGCAGCATCCGCCAGGCCATTTGTTCCTCCAACCGGTATGCGACACCAGGAAGGCGCTGCTGCCGTTGATACTGGACTTCCTCCAGGGCATCATACCATAATTCTTTCCGGGCAATATCTCTCCATTCTAATTCACTCTCTTCCTCAGGTGTGTGTGTTGCCCAGAGGTACACGAACCCCATTTTCCCAAATCTCTATATAGACAGGGACGCTGTATGAACACGCAACCAGGCTCCTCTAGTGCACAGTGGCAAGGTTGGTTCCGCCACAGGCTGCAATATGGTGTCAAAGGCAACATTGGCCCAGGAAACCAATCTTGCAAATTTCAAAGTGCAAACATGGAAAAGGGGAAAGCCCTACATTTGACCCCTGTAAGTTTGCAAAAAAAAAAAACAAACAATTAAACTTGTACATTGTGGGCACTGTTGTACTCAGGAGATGTTGCTGAACACATATTGGGGTGTTCTTTATCAGTAACACATAACAGGAACTGAGAATCCAACACAACAAATTGACTACCCAAAAGTTTGACAAAGAGTGGTGGTAGAATTAGTGCATGGAAAGTGTTAAGATACCAACATTACTCAGTACATGTATTCTTAAATTGCTATGTGTGTCAAAAAAAAATCACAATTTTTATTTTAAATTTGGCATAGATTGGTGGTAAAATGGTTGCATGAAAAGAGTCAAAATACTTCAAGTTTAATACCTTAGGTGGTCTTCGTTTAAAAACATATATACATGTGAAGGGTTATTCAGGGATTCCTGAGAGATATCAGTGTTACAATGTTAATTTTGAAAAAAAATGTTTTTGAAATAGCAAAGGGCTACTTGTACTTATTGCCCTATAACTATCCAAAAAAAGCAAATAACATGTTAACATTGGGTATTTCTAAAATCAGGACAAAATGTAGAAACTATTTAGCATGGGTGTTTTTTGGTGGTTGTAGATGCGCAACAGATTTTGGGGGTCAAAGTTCAAAAAGTGTGGGGTTTTTTGTTACATATTTTCATCATATTTTATAATTTTTTTTATAGTAAATTATATGTGATATGATGAAAATAATGTTATCTTTGAAAAGACCATTTAATGGCGAGAAAAACTGTCTATAATATGTGTGGGTAAAGTAAATGAGTAAGAGGAAAATTACAGCTAAACACAGCATAAATGTAAAAACAGCCCTGGTACCAAATGGTGAGAAAATTGAAAAGCGGTCTGGTCACTAAGGGGTTAAAGGGACATTTTAGACCCCTAAAGCATTTCAGCTTGCTTAGAGGACGATTTCAGACTGTTTTTTTGTTTTTATAAAACAAAAATCACAAGTTAGTAGATATACCCCCAATAAATGCATGCAGACCATTCACACCACAGAGTGATGATGCTTCTCCAAGAGAAGCGTCTGATTGAGCCCTGCTACATTGTCATTTTGATAATAAAAAAGGGGGTGTGGATTGCCGAGGATGTCAGCACTGGAACAGAGCTAAGTTTTTATTTTAAAAATAAAATCTTTTTTTTTTTTAAGGGGAAACTAATATAAAAGCAAGGAAGGCGGCTAGGGGACCTGTCGTTTTTGCTTTTATATTTTGACTATAGTGCTCCTTTAAAAGCTGCAGTTCTTATGAATTGCAGCCTTTTCAAGCCCTCCTTTTTTACCCCGGATGAGGCTAACAGTCACTTCACAGGAAATAAATTGAGAAGCCTCTGAATCTGTGTGAGTGCGCTGGAGTTGCTGAAGGCACTGGTCTGAGCTCTGAGGAGGAGGAGCCAGGAGCACTCAAGAAGAGCACAGGGGAGCTAATGGAAAGAGGAAATAAACTACCGTGATTATGTCAGGAGGTTGTTCCATAATTTAATTATAAAATTACAGATTTCTCATAGAAATTAAAATAGGATACTCCTTGTGACGGAACGCTGGCACTCCGACTGAGTACCTCCGCCAATCGATGCTCCTAGTGCTCGCTGAGGACTCCAAGCACTCCAACCGACACCATCAGCACTGCAGACCCCACTTCCAGCGATGCAACTGCGCCGGGGTCTCTGCTGTCTCCACCCACCCTGGACCCAAGGCCAGGATCCAGCTTCCAGTGGGTGAACCTCTCTTTCCCCAGAGAGCAGGAACAGGAACAAGCTCTTAGCAGAACTTAGTGATCATACCCTGGGGAGTATAGTGATTATAGCAATCCCCAGAGTGTATTTCTCCAATCCCCCAAACATGAGCCAAGGCTTAATGCTGGAACAAGACTGATTTACTGGCACACAGAACTCACAATTTATGCAACACAAAACTCCTCCTCTGGGCCAGGCTAGATAATTGAGTTTCTACAATACACAAAGCTCAATTATCTGCTGGCCAGAAATAATACAGTTTTTACAGCATTCATAACTTCTAAAATATACATCACATTCACATTAAAAAAACATATATATTCCCAATCAATTCATTCAGGGAAACAACATATCAAAAAATGGCATGAATCAGACCAGGGGTTCAGAAGTTAGTAAAGTATCTTTTGGGGCCTGGCTGGCAGCATGGCTATCTGGCCCAAACTGGTTTTACAGAGCCCTCTAGCCTGGAGACAATGGGGAAAGTAATCCAATTATCCAGGGATAGAAGCAGACTCCATTGAGCACATGTTCCAGGTAAAACACAAAAGGATACAAAAATACATAACTCCTATCATACTGAATTGAACGGGCCAAATCTCCCAGGGTCCATAGTCACAGGGCAAGAGGCTGGCAAGCAGTCCTCTCCAGGCACAAGTGGCGTAGGGCACTTCGTCACACTCCTCACCCATAAAGCACTTCAGCAAGCTTAAAAGAACACTTTAATGTTAGGAATACAAAGATGCATTCCTAACACTAACGTGTTCCTCAGCCCTTGCAGCCCCCTCCCTGTGTTGTAATTAATTAAATAATCAAAGTTGAAAACAAAGGCAAAAAAAATAACAAAATTTAAAAAAACAATTTGAAAAGATGGCCAATTATGCCACAACGTGGAAAAAAAGTAATCTTTACTATATAATGACCAACAGATTTTACCTTGGATCAACAATCCACACACATTTATTATTTCTATAAGAAGGTTTTTTTTTTTTTCCTTTGAGAGAACAGCTTAACCCTGCACCTGGTCCCACTTACCCATTGCTTCCTTCTGTGGGCTGATGAGGAGGGTTTTGCCTGGGAGCCATTAACAGGCTGAGAGCCTCAGCTAATGTTCACTGCCTATCCCTGGTCAGCCATTGAGAGAAATAAAACTTCTCTCAATGTGCAGTTAATTACAGGCAGCACCTAGAAAAATGAAGGCAGAGGCAGTGGTATTGGGAGTGGGAGACCAACTTAAGGGTTAAACTGATGGAAAAGTTTTAACCTTTGAAGATAAGATGGCGACTGGAAACTACTGCATCCATAACAACTCCAAAAAGCCCTATGGTTATGCAAGTATTTAAACAAAACTTTTGCTTTCATATATTTTTGTAAACTCCTTTAGTAAATATTCTTAGAGCATAGCTTAACCAGGGTTGCTCCCTTGCCACATAACATTTTATTACCGGATCCAGGACAAGAGTATGTTTTGGTGAGTTGCGAGTCTTCAAAGGGATATCCATCCATCGATGTCGCTTCTCCCATAGTTTGTTGACAAAATTGCTGCTATATTGCGGTCTGGAAAGTAACAAGAGAAATAGGTTCCAGGCTTACAAACACTGCCACCAGATATTGGATATAAGCACCGCAATATTTTCAGGTTACTTAGTTACATAGGCTGAACAAAGTCCATCAAATTCAGCCTTTAAATGTAATTTACTTGCACTAGAGTGTTTTAAAAGGTCAGCCTCTGATAATGGCTGTGTGTCCACATTTGCAAGAACCCATGGAATGTGGGTATAATTCTGTAAATGAGGACTTTTGTAGACTGATCTGTTTGGTGAGGAAACTGACTGAAACATGTATATATGATAAAACTGTTTTGTTAAATGTGAAGGCAACCTTAGCTCTTGTGGTAGTGATATCACCTTAGTGACAAGCAGAATGATACAGCCTTCTCAATGGATGCCAGAAAAGAAAGTTAAGATACTTTGTATGGTATGCATTGCTGTACTGTATGATACCCTACTACCTCTATAAAAATAGGCTATCTTGGCCAAACACACACAGCATTGGCAACAGTTGCCCTTAAGTTGCCCCATGCTCTTATTCTTGGTCAAAATTTCATAGGCTTTGAAAGCCTTATTCAAACCCAGTGAAGAGCAGTTTTTTTTATTTTTCCATTTACACACCCTGACTTGTTTCATGATAAGTATACTTAGTTAATATTCCCTTGTAGCAATCCAGTTTATTTGTGCTTAGCAGTATTTAAAGCTGATTATAGCCCCTATTGAGTATGGATACAATTTTCTAGCCATTAAACCTGGATTTATGGGATTGTGAAAGATATATAACCCTTCCTTCTTGGTTCCTCAGCAGCGTTTCCAGATGTATCACTTTTGCATTGTTTATATAAAGTATTGATTTTTTTTAGATACTTTGGATACAGATAGTTGAGTACTCTGTTATTCTTTCCCCACTTACCTTAGCTCTAAGTTAGTTATTATATGTTGCATTTTTCTTTTTTACACTCCCCCTTTTTTATTAAAAACCAGCAGTGAGTCCCTCCCTTTATTGGGGTGCATTCACTTTCTACTTACATTTTTGGGGGGTTCAAGACCATTTGGTGGATCTGGTACCACTATACTGACCTCTGTGTTCTTATCCCAGCTTTGGAATTTGGATTAAACAGATTTATCCCTTTTGCATGTATTATTTAAAAGTTGCACTGCTAAAGGCAACAGAAAATTGCATTAGGCTTGTCAGTAAAAGCCAAAAATTCAAGAAACCACTGCGGTACTCTGCAGATGTGGCCAAAATAGTAAAAAAACAAAAAGGTAGCATTTAGTAATTATAAAAACACCAGCGTGAGAAAGATAGAATGATCTATAAGACTAGGCAGAAAGAGGCTGAGCAAGAGCTTCCAAATCACACATAGAAGAGAAAATAGCACAGTCAGTAAAAAATGGGGTCAAAACAATTTTTAGATACATAAATGAGAAAAGGAAAGTAAAACAAGGATTAGTTAGATCAAAAATAAAAGAAGGAAGGTATGTAGAAGAAGATAAAGGTCTAGCTGATTGCCTCAATGAATATTTTTTGTTCAGTATTTATAGATAAAAATGAAGGAAAGGGGCGTCAATTAGGAAAAAGGACAAATGAGTTATTTGTTACATGTGAGTTTACAGAGGAAGAGGTTGTTTTTCAACTGTCAAAAGTAAAGACAAATTAGTCAATGGGACCTGATGGAATACACCCAAAGTTATTAAAATAACTTAGTGGTGTACTAGCAAAACCATTAACAGATTTATTTAACCAATCATTGTTAACAGGAGTAGTCCCAGACGATTGGAAGTTAGCGAATGTTGTGCCCATTCACAAGAAAGATAAAAGAAAAAAGGTGAACAAAAACACTATTTTTAAACACACATTTACACCATGACAGGCACAGAAACACACATATACCATGACAGATACACACCCCATGACAGACACAGACAGACACACACAACCAATGACGAACAGACAGACACACACACCCCATGACTGACAGACAGACACAAACACCCCATGACGGACAGACAGACACACACACCCCATGACGGACAGACAGACACACACAACCAATGACGGACAGACAGACACACACAACCAATGACGGACAGACACACACACACACCCCATGACGGACAGACACACATGACACACACCCCATGACGGACAGACAGACACACACACACACCCCATGACAGACAGACACACACACACCCCATGACAGGACAGACACACACACCCATGACAGACACACACACACACAGAAACACACACACCCCATGATGGACAGACAGACACATACACACCCCATGACGGACAGACAGACACATACACACCCCATGACGGACAGACAGACACACACACACCCCATGACAGACAGACAGACACACACCATACAGACAGACACTATGACACAGACAGACAGACACACACACAATGACACATACATACATACAGACAGACACCATGACACGGACAGACACACACACACACCATACATACAGACAGACACCATGACACGGACAGACAGACACACACACCATACAGACAGACAGACACCATAACACAGACAGACACATTACTAGTACCTGACACCAGGGGGAGGTCTTCTGGCGGCCGCTGGGGAGGTCTTCTGGCAGCCGCTGGGGGACTTGTCCTGGCGGCCGCTGGGGGACTTGTCCTGGCGGCCGCTGGGGGGAGCTGCGCTGTCTGTGCTCTCCCGCCCTTGCGCGCTGCTGAATGAGACCGGCGCCGGAATATGACATCATATTCCGGCGCCGGTCTCATTCAGTTGCGCGCTGGGGAGCAGAGCCAGCGCAGCTCCCCCAGCGGCCGCCAGGACAAGTACCCCAGCGGCCGCCAGAAGACCTCCCCAGCGGCCGCCAGCAGACCCAGGTGTCTGCTCGGCCCCAGGAGCCGACGGCCCACCGGGAAATTTCCCGGTATCCCGGTGGGCCAGTCTGGCCCTGCTCTCTAGTGTCTTCCATGGGGCAAATCAATGAGAGACTGGAAAGACTGGAAGCTCATAGCAGTCCAGTTGTGACATCAGAGCCACCCACTACCAATATCCCAGGACCATCACAAGCCCAACCCGGTAATCATAATACCCCCAAAATCCTTGGGTCGCAAGTGATCAACCCAGCCCATATGGTACCAACAAACCTTAAAAAGGATATCCTGGAGGGCAAGGATGTTAATTTAGTATCTCTGCTTATTGCCTCCCAGGATATCACAGAAAACCGTGCATATATGTATGGCGATATTTTTGTCGTCTTCAAGGCCAGAGATCCTAGACTGAGCAAAAAACTAGCAATCTCAGATTTCGTTATTGCATTCGGCATTTACAGGGACGTACTGTGCTCAGTTTACCCACAGAGAAGGGAAGAATTAGACCTATACATGCACAAGCTGGTAGACCTGGGCAAATCTCTGTCCTGTCTCAATGGATTATACCCCAAACAATGCCACACCAAGCACTTCCAGGGGGGAGAAACAGGGCAGAGACAAGCTGGGTCGCCCATCGTGTATTTGGGCAAGTCCCAGATATGTAATAATTTTACTGTTGGGGCTTGCTCCTATAGTGCTTGCCGTCTGTTACATATCTGCTCCAATTGTTTCAGGGCACACGCAAAGGCTATGTGCCCTAATAAAATGCATGTTAAACCCTAACTAACTACTGTGAATGTTGATGTCCTGGCAGGGCTTCTCTCCAAGCACCCTTCTACACATCTTGTGGAGTATTTGATTGCAGGGTTTTCCCAAGGGTTTCATACTGGCATCATTTACATACCAGGGGATACATGGGAAGCCAACAACCTCCAGTCCGCCCTTTGTGACACAGACGCAGTAGACTACCTACTACAAATAGAACAAGACCAAGGATTTGTCTTAGGTCCATTTATTGACCTGCCTTTTTCTAATTGGAGAACAAATCCCATTGGACTAGTCACTGGGAAAACATCTAACAAACAAAGACTCATTATAGACATGCTTTGGTGATACACAGTCTCAATTCCCTGATCCCGTCAGAGGCATTCTCTTTACAATACACCACCATAAATGACGCCATATCTACCATCATCTCAGCAGGCATAGGCGCATGGTTGAGCAAAACCGACATAGTTAACGCCTTTAAACTACTCCCCATACACCCGTCGCTGTGGCATTTGCACAAAGCCATACACTTATTTAACACCATTGGGGTTCCAGTATGTCCCACCTAGACGGAAGGTCCAATTACGATCATTCTGTTTTTGGGGATACAACTGGATTCCATAAATATGGAAGCCAGCCTCCCTAGAGACAAGATTGACAACATCACTCAGACCATTCAGCAGTATTTGTGCATAGGCTCAAGCAATAGGAAAGAGTTTCAGTCGTTGGTTGGCTCGCTAAATTTTGCCATCTGTATTATACCCCAAGGAAGAGCTTTCATTTCCAGACTCCTGTGCCTTCTTCCGACACTAACTGACGAATACAAACGTACCACTCTTGATATGCAAGCCACAGCACACTTACACATGAGGAATGTGTTCCTGTCAAACTGGAATGGCAGGAGCATGTTCCTCCCCCAAGTCACAGAGGATGCCATTTGGACTATAGGATTCCCCTACCATTTAGACTGACGTAGCAGGCTCCACAGGTTTTGCAGCAGTTTTTGGGGACAACTGGCTATGGGGTAGATGGCTGGAAGAAGTTAAGCAAATAGAAGGCTTTTTTTTAGGAATTCTGCACTCTGTCCCGCTTTAGGTTCCAGGCGTTCAGGGAGTCTCTATCAACAGCGTCACCGGTAGCCACGACCGCCCCCCAACTCCAGGATCTAATCATGGACTAGAGGAATTATTACAACAAGGCAAGATACTTACAAAACTCGCTCTAGCTAAAAACACACACAGCGCATACGACAGAGCTTACTACCTATACAAGAAATTCATGGCAGTCCATCATCTCACGAATTGGTTTGACAATATAACTTTGGTGGCTTTTGCCACGTTCTGCCACATCAAATTAAAAATGTTGCATAATACCACTAAACTATACCTCACGGGTATCCAACATCATATGTTCACAGAACATCTTAACAACCAAGGGTTTCTCACCTCCTATCCCATTAAAACCCTCCTTAGGCTATGCTCAAATCGCAGGGACCTACACCGCAACGTAGGTGGCCTATAGACTTACAACTGTTTAAACGTTTGTCAAACCTACTAGATACCATACCATTCGAACCCCCTACTAACACCACTCTTGAAACTGCCATATATGTGGCTTTTTATGGTTTCTTACGACCCAGAGAATTTACCATTAATAGGCAACACGAGTGCAAGCATTGCCTCCGGTAGTCTAACCTGTACAGGAAACAGTACCACTACATATTAAGCTTACATCGACTAAGACCAGCCAGATGGGTCACGAGGTTCTTATTCAATACTACCCCACCAACAACGCATGGTGCCCGGTGGAAGTTTTTAATAAATATCTACAGTCTTCACCTATACAAGCCTCACTCCCTCTCCTTTCACTGCACGGTACAGCACTCACTACCGCCAAGTTTGTGATGTATATTCGCTTGCTATTGACCAGGCTCGGCTTAAACGCTGCAAACTATTCTGGGCATTCATTCCGGATAGGGGCAGCTTCCACGGCCTCGGGCCTAGACATCCCGGTTCACATCATTAAAACCTTAGGCCGCTGGAAGTCGTCTGTGTTACGGTACCTCCAGTAATTAAATGCACAAACCGCCGTTTAGTGAATGTTCCCCATTCGCAATACTGTGGTCTGGTAGCGTATGTAGTGAAACCATGCGAACCACCAGCCAGGGAACACTCCAAACTCCCGAACGGTACCTGTACGGCCTTTTCCCTTCTCAAGCTCCAAATACGCGAATCGCCAATAGCAGCCGAACGGCAATAGTTTCCAAGCGGCAAATAATTCCAATAAGCAGTCTCTAGGCACCGGTAATAAAATCCCCCCAATAACGAGACCAAGCTCCGCTTTGAGGGTAAAACACGAACTGAGTTTACTGGGGGCTACCTGCCCGTATTTATTCAGGTCTCCCACTTGGTGGACACTCCCCTAGGGGACCAAATGGGAGACTGAAATGACAGAAGGACATGGGGACATTCTGGACATACATCCCCCTAATATTCCCAGCATGCATCACAGTTTCCTCCCCTCTGCTCGGGAGATAATTGGGAAGTAACTTAATTATCTCCCAGAGCAGAGGCAAATCGCCATTTTAAATACAAGTCACAAAACACATAAAAATATATAACTTTATAACTACCGAACATATTGCATTCGTGTAACACATCCCCAGATAGCCTGGATCTGAGTGCATATTATTGGTGAATAGCGCTCATATCCCATACGCATAGTTCAATCGCCATGGAGTCAAAGTCTATTACAGTTCTTCGGTATGCGATTGACTCCATGGGAAGGCTATCTGGGTTAAGTCCATTCGTGTTATAAAATCTCCAGAACGGCCGGTATTCGTATGCTTTTGTCGATTGAGAAGGGGAGGTCGACGGCTTCAGTGGTGTTCGGTTGAAAAAGTGTCCATTTTTAGTTCCATGCAATAACCGTCAAACACCGCTGGGCTTTCGCATAGTTAAAATGGCCGCCGCCTCGTGGTCGACATACGAACGACGACCACCCTGTATTCGGTTTTAATTGAGAAGTGTCTGTGGTTAACCGCAACGTTCTAATTGGGATCAATAGGTTAACCAGCAGCACACTTCTCTTCTGGGTGGCCGTACGTTCGGTAGTTCCGTTCGACAAAAAAAAAAGACATTCCCTTAAACAAAGCATACGAACGGGGAGATTCATGCAAACGGCAAAACAGACGAACACAGTACTTTTAGTCCATACAGATGGGTCTGTCACAGTCTGCTTACGCTGTTTACATACCACAGCCAACACAAGAATTAACGTTGGTGAAAATGTCATCGTAAATATGCTAACTTCATGTCTTGTGGTTTCATAAATAAATATCATTGATAACTCTATATGGGTATTCCTTTTTGCCCTCTTATCTACAGGCCTACCACACACATCTGTTTCGGCACACCTCTACCGACTTTTAAAGGACCACTCTAGGCACCCAGACCACTTCAGCTTAATGAAGTGGTCTGGGTGCCTGGTCCCTCTAGGATTAACCCTTTTTTTATAAACATAGCAGTTTCAGAGAAACTGCTATGTTTATACTGAGGGTTAATCCAGCCTCCAGAGCCTGTCTCATTGACAGCCGCTAGAGGCGCTTGCGTGCTTCTCACTGTGAAAATCACAGTGAGAGCACGCAAGCGTCCATAGGAAAGCATTGTAAATGCTTTCCTATGCGACCGGCTGAATGCGCGTGCGGCTCCTGCCGCGCATGCGCATTCAGCCGATGACGTCGCGAGCAAGGAGGAGAGGAGGAGTACAGCTCCCCGCCCGGCGTTGGAGAAAGGTAAGTGTTTAACCCCTTCCTCTCTCCAGAGCCCGGCGGGAGGGGGTCCCTGAGGGTGTTTTCCTGGCACTATAGTGGTCCTTTAATGATTATAATAAGTATATTCACTAGCTATTTCATACTATACTGAGATGGCCCCGAATACAATTATACATTATTCCTTTCTAGGTGGGCCCACTTTATTTACAGGCCCGCCGATACATCGATTTCGGCACACCACAGAATTTCACATATAACCATGTTACTTTCGCATAGGTCTACATACTATCGGCTATTGATATGGCATTTGTGCCATGACCACAAACTATATAGATATATGGTACTTGAAAGGGTCGAGTTATAGAGGGTATTTGCAATAGAAAGGCATGTGGTAGTAGAGATTGGTGAGAGGACTGGTTAAATGTCAATAGAAAGCTGCTGCAGATCAAGAGATTTCAGGTGAGTCTAGGTGTGGTAATTGAGGGAGCTTGGGGAGGTGCAAGATAAGACTGCAGCATAGTAGGTGGTGATCAGAGAGAGGAAAAGGTGAACAAAAGTTTGAGAATAATTAGACCTAGATAGGCAGTCATAGAGAGGAATTTAAAGGCTTCAGAGGTAGTTGATGAATCTAAAGAAATGTTAAATCTTCAAGGATAAAGGATGGAATATCAGAGGACAGAACTGAAGGAGCAAGGCAGAGAAGTGTTCCAGGAAGGAGCCAGGGTGGCCATGAGACTGGTAGATGACCGCAATATGTAGCAAATGATCACATTCTATCGCTTGTGAAAGGACATTTGTAAGCACCAATGGTAAGACACTGCAAAGAGTACCATTTTATGAAGAAGTTACCATGAGAAGCAAAAGCATTATATCATTCACCACAGTCAGATAGTGCTTGGAACTTGCAGAATCCTGTTTAAGATCTGAAGGTTTTTGAATGGGCTAGAATGAACATGAAGAAGTGCAATGTTTCAGCCTGCACAGAGGCCTTTGACAAGCTTGACAAAGGCCTCTGTGCAGGCCGAAACGCTGTACTTCTTGTTCCAGTAAAACTGGTTGACATTGATCTGGAGTGCATGGACCATACTTGTTCTATGACTGATATACCTGGTTTTGCCAGGCCTAGGTCTGGAGCACCTGAATCATCACATAACAGTGCAGTCTCTTTTGTTTGTGTGGATTACTTGTATCTTATGCTAGACCTTAAAGAATCCCATGGGTGGGATAGTGACACTCACAACTTAAATTCTTCTTCTGGGTCTTCTTCACGGAGGGAGATAAAATATGGCTGTTCGACAATATAAGAACTGCTGCCTCCGCTACTAGATGAGGAGCTGCTACAATCTGAAAGGTTAACATAAAGAGTAGTTAGAAGGTTGTACATCAAAAACTAATTAAGCATTATGTATCTTAGATATAAAAATATAAAAGAAAAATGAAATAGATGCAAGACTTTAAACTGGAGAAAGTTTGTTAAAATTGGAACAATTTAAGAATAAATATTTCTAAAAACATAATTAAAAATTTTACGTAAAAAATTTACGAGTATGGAAGCTTCTTGCAGGAGATGGTGGTGGCTGCATGGCAGACTTGTAGATAATCATATTATTTTATTACTTACTATGGGATGGCCACATTGTACTCCTGGCACCATCACCACTACAAATAGCTGTAGTAGTTATGACACATGGAGTATTCTTTAAAATATCAGTCACCTTATTATTGCAGGAAAATGTTGTTTAATCTTTCACCAGTCCCTCACAGTCCAGTTTATTTGATCTCAATCCTTATTGCCACTTTATTTCATATTCATCACCAGTTACATATCATCAGACCTCTCTACCTGTCCTTCTAATAATAATGAAATCATGGCCTTGGTACTTACTTAGAAATAGCGAAAACTAAATGTATACTTCCTGGTTAACACATTTGATATAATTATTATTTTTGACAATATTTTAGAAGTTTGTAATAAAACTGAAACATGAGATAAATGTTACAGAATGCAGAAAAGTGAGGTGCAGTTTTTGTCATAATTAATCTTGTCATAATTAATCTGACTCATACTAAGTTTTTAAAGGAGACCTGTAATGTTAGAAATACAAACGTAGCTCTGGCATCAGAGGAGTTTACAAACTATGTCTATGTAAGGCCCTTCTAACCATTTAATTAAAGCAGTTTTGCTCACCTTTTATTCCCACTCATGCCGGTCTTGACGCAGCCGCCGCTCCTCCCCATTACTGATAATCTCAGCCAACCAAACCTTCCCCATATATAAGCATTCGGGGCCTACTGTGCATGAACAAAATCATTCAGAAATATGCCTGCCATGGTCTCTGGAATTAGTCTCTGCCACAGTACTCTGATTCATATCAGCCCATGCACCAGGGCCTCAGGCAGTCTATGTTCCCTATACCTGCTATTATTGACATGTACCAGGCTATTTAATCAAACACACTCTGTCCACAGTCTCCAGGAACCCACATCAATTACTGTGTATTGTCATACATGTGCAAGAGTACAACACTTATGTCTATAGAGGACAATGCGAGACCTCAGGAGCCAAAGTACATATCTTGCGATTTACCCCGATTGCAGTGCATTAAGGAAAAAACAGTCTAGCTGGTTATTATCATCTTTCATATTTGCAACCAGGTCAAGATTTCATATTTAGAATAATACTTTTTCAGATTAGTTTAACAGTTATGCAAAGTCAAACTTCATAAACAGCACAGCAGCAATCTCTTCTAAAGTGGCACAATTATAGTGTGACTACAATGATGAAGATCTTTTTTAAAACTGAAACTTTCTTTTGTTTAGTAAACCAGATTGTACTGTATACCTGAAGAATACATTTTCCAATAAAACAACCTAAAACAACATAGACATCCTGCATATTCTTTTGGCATTATTAAATGACATAACCAGAAACAGAAATAGTAGGCTATACATGTACGTACCAGCAATCCTATGTCAATATAATCCATATGTTAAGGGTGCACTCACCTGAGCCACTGACATCAGGTGAGAGGAAGCAAAGTACTGGGGAAAATATGCTGCACAGAATGTCTTGTTCCTCAGAGAAAGATTCATCCATTTGGAAATTAACCCGTACAGATCGTTCTTTTAGTGGGGTTTCCAGATCTATGAGGACAAATGAAGTCAGCTGTAACCAGGTGCGAAAGCAGCACTTGTAGGCCTTGTTAGGGTTAGTAATTTAAGCTATCTTTCAACAGTTCAGTTCTTTAACCAGGACTTTTCTCAAGATACATGAAAATCAAAGAATGGGTAAAATTAGGAAAGTGCACAAGAACCGTGCATAGATGGTGGGTTTTAGAAAAAGAAAAAAAAGGTGTGGGGAGGAAAGCTTTGTCTAAAGAACCACTCCATAAAAGAAAGTGAGGTGTGGAGTATGGGTGAATTAACAAGTTTGACTACTGTCTTAAAACATTATCAGGTTAGGTAACCAAAAGCACAAGCTATGCAGAGAATATAAAACATGCATGTCCCAAGATAAAAAAGGCAAGGAAAAAATATGAACCCACATGAAGTGAAAAGGAATCATATGGTGAGAATGAAAGTTGATCCCTAAGAGGTAAATGGCAGTTTAAAAAAGGTGAAATCCAGTCATCCATAAAGTCAACAAAATCTTTAAAAACACTATTATGAATATAATAAAAACTATTGTTTTAGTAATTTCTATAATATATATATATATATATATATATTTTTTTTTAAATAGACAACAAGAAGCTATACACAAGTAAGCGAGAACATTAGATGTAATAAAAGTGTGCATTGGTCAAAAGGTGGCTACAAGGTGCATTGATCAAAAGTTAATAAAAAAAAATATATAGATAAGCAACATCCACATTTATCTCATCTTAAATCAGCTACCCAGTATATAAAGCTAAATTTAAATAAAAATAAAAACCCCACTAATATAAGTACAGTGACACAGATATAACATTTCTATAATAAATTTCGGACATAGGGGTGATTCACTAAGGTGACAATTAGTCAATTCTATTTTGGTTTAGCTATGTTGGACTTAAATTAGAAATTCACTTTGAATTCCCAGCAATTCTCACCTTCATGAATAGCCCTGTGAATACTATTGGAGTAAATAGAGAAAATTTTAAATATTTGAAATTGTAAGATTATAGCAGACATAGGAGGGCTTCCTCTGGGGATCAAGGTCTGTTCTGCAAAGTTTGCACCTTTTCCCCAAGAGTGAAGCATCAACAGGTAACCAACTCTTACAGCACAGCCAGTCTGGTAGTGCCGAGTATTTCCTGAAGAGTTGCTGAAATAAAACTAACAACTTTTTACATTAAGGCCATGTTCTCCAATGTAGCAACCTTTTTCACATGCTGTACACTGTAACATGTACTTTTGCATATGTGCATAAATATGATCCCTTAATGCTGGCTGGCTGTGTTACTTGCACATATACGTTGGCACAGTTTGCAGAGTGATTAGTTGCATTGTACAGTGTGATTCTGTGTGAGCTCCTGTTCTTTGGTTAATTTGCTGCAGACCAATCTTTGTCTCATTTTAGGTGGTTATTTGAATGCTAGTATGGGGGTCTGAGGAAATATTTGAGTGTGGGGTCCTCTGAGATGAATGGATGTAGGTCTTTAATAATTTTACGTACTTATTCTAGCACTTGAGTTGTAGGCAACTACCAGTGATATTCTTCTTTTGTTTTCCTTTTCTTTGTATTGGAGGAGCCTTTACCATGGTGTTTTTATGGCAGATATTTTTTAGATGTTGTCCTTTCCTTTTAGTGCTTTTGCCTAAATGACCCTGGCAGTGTACTCAGGTGTTTATCTCTGTCTCCTGTGTCAGAGCAAATGCAGTGATATCTGATAGCCTGCCTGTAGATGACACCTGGTTTGGTGTGGTTGGGATGAAGATGGAATTGTGGACGTACAGCACCTGTCTGTGGGCTTTCTGTACACAGATGAATGAAGAATGCCATTAGTGACAGTTATGGTGCATTTCAGGAAGCACGCACTGTGTCCTGAGAAGTTAATTTTGAGGATTAATAATAGGTGGAATAAATTAAATGATTTAAGGATGATTATATGGCTTTCTTCTCCTTCTGTCAATAATCCAATCTACATTGCTAAAAGATACAAATAAATTTAGACAACTGGACACTCCCAACTTTGCTGTTCTTTACGATTTAAAGGACCACTATAGGCACCCAGACCACTTCAGCTTAATGAGGTGGTCTGGGTGCCTGGTCCAGCTGGGTTTAACCCTTTTTTCTATAAACATAGCAGTTTCAGAGAAACTACTATGTTTATAAATGGGTTAATCCAGCCTCTAGTGGCTGTCTTATTGACAGCCGCTAGAGGGCTTCCGCGCTTCTCACTGTGATTTTCACAGAGAGAAGACACCAGCATTCATAGGAAAGCATTGTGAATGCTTTCCTATGGACTGGCTGAATGCGTGCGCAGCTCCTGCCGCACATGCGCATTCAGCTGAGGAGGAGGAGAGGAGGCGGAGAGCTCCCCGCCCGGCGCTGGAGAGAGAGGTGAGTTTAACCCCTTCCTCCCCCCAGAGCCCGGCGGGAGGGGGACCCTGAGGGTGGGGGCACCCTTAGGGCACTATAGTGCCAGGAAAACGAGTATGTTTTCCTGGCACTATAGTGGTCCTTTAAGCAGGACTGTGCTTCTGTGCACAAAGCATGGTCTATGAAGACATTATTTAATACATTTGATGTGGTTAACCTCTAGTGAACTGCATAGAGTTTTTATGAATTGAAATGCTGACCGTGAACCAGACCTCATTAAATATCACTGCCTGATCTCACAATTGCTCTTGTGGCTGAATGGGCACCAGTTCCAGCAGATACAATATAAAATATTATTTAACGTTTTCCTCAAAGAGTGCAGGATGATATAGCTGCAATTGGGAACTATTTTCTTAGTGGCTACTAGCTCTTCGATTTATAACAAATATTATTAGGGTCTCATTCTCAGGAGATATTTTCTTGCCACACACTAAAGTGGAAAGGTAGTGTGAGATTATAATGGTCAATGTGTAGCTGAAGTTTTGGTGTAGCAAGGAGGCTTTTGGATATCTAGAGCTCTGCACCCAGGGCCAGCCCAAGACATTGTGCTTCTCGGGTCCAAAGATAAAATGCTACCCCCCCCCCCTCCAAAAATGTATCTGCTTCTGCAATGGTATGTGTGTATGTGCTGGGGATGAAGTTTGTGTCTGTGTGTGTGCTGGAAATTAAGTGTGTGTCTGTGCATGCTGGGGATGCATAATAATGGTAATACCATTCAGCCCCTCCATTAGGAGTCATCAAACGATATTACGCATCATAGATATTTAGATGCTGTATGGAGGTTGACTAGCATAAAATGATAAAGTTCATCCCATACTGAGTAGTGCTTGAGACCAGTTCAAATATGCATCTAGAATAATGTCAGAATATTTATATCGGCAGACATATTGTGCTAAAATAGAAATGAAAAGTGTATATTGCCAGAGTCACTCAGAACAGAGCGGACTCCATTTTGGGATTTCAGGCAAGACAGACACATAATTTCTTTCTTTTCTGTAACTAGCCACTAGCTGAGCTTAGGAATGTGTTATGTAAACAAAGCAATGAAGTCTCCCAGCAAGGATGGGGATGGATCACTAAGTCCAGAGACAAGTATACACATTATATATACATTTAACCACTATATACTTATTTTACTATTATATTTATTACGTATAATTAGTATTATGTTAATAATATAGACCATTCATGGATAAATATTCATGAAAAAATATCATATTATTAAATAAAAGTTAATGGAATAGAAAAATAATGTCTCACAGCTCCTCAAGAAAGCCAGATAACAGTGACAGAGAAGACATAGTAATTATTTTTACTTTCTAAATCTTACAAGGTCCCATTGTAAGCAAGGGGTGAAATTAAGGTTTAGACGTGTACATTTTAGATATACAACAGGAATTGCCAACGCTCTGTCTGGAAAAAAACCAAAGAAATCTTTTGAAATGACAGCAAATTTGAGTTATATTAGCTATTTAGATAAGCCAAAATTACGTCAGAATCGTCATCAAAATTAGTTAACTCTTGCGAGGACACGAAATTTTGATGATGTAAGGGTGCCATCTATCCATGTGGATTGGCCACACCTTCAGTTTCCAATTCGCCTGATCAACTAATGACATACAGAGAACCTGGCCCTTTAAAAAGTAAAGACAAAGGGTAGAGATGCACATTCAGATTCAGATTCAGACATTCAGAGAGATCCAGGACAGATATTCAGGACACTCTGGGACTAACACTCAACTCTCATACTCTTTGACTCAACTCAAGAAACACCTCCTGAACACTTAGAATTTTACTATAACTTTCCAAACCAATATCACATTCTCTATCACATGCACACCTCCTTACAAACATTAACCACATTTCCATTCATTCCTGGGAATATCTAATCATCTGATGAAAACATCTACATAACTAGTGATGTACCGAACGGTTCGCCGGCGAACATAGCATGTTCGCGTTCGCCACGGCGGTCGAACATATGCGTGGTTCGACCCGCCCCCTATTCGTCATCATTGAGTAAACTTTGACCCTGTACCTCACAGTCAGCAGACACATTCCAGCCAATTAGCAGCACACCCTCCCTAGCAGACCCTCCCACCTCCTGGAAGGCATCCATTTTAGATTCATTCTCAAGCTGCATGCTTAGTAAGAGGAGGGAAAGTGTAGCTGCTGTTCATAAGATAGGGAAAAGCATAGCTAGGTTAGGGTTAGGGTATGCTTTTTTTTTATTTTTTTTTCTATGTAATGTAATTGCACTTAGTTGTCTGCCACTGCTGCCAGCTTCTGTGTCAGGCTCACAGTGCATACTGTGCCCATTTCCCCAGTCAGTGCCACCACTTACATCTGGTGTCACAATAGCTTGGATTTAAAAACAAAAA